TCTGTCGGTGAAAATCTGATTTTTTTTTTATCTGAAGGTGCTCGAAATGGACTTTTCATAGCTTAAAATGTCATCTCTCCCTCGATAGATGTCTATCCTTGTGAATGCGTACAAGGTCGTGTGTTGAAGAGATGTGGCTGGTGACAGACTGTCGGTATCAGATGTGCACAGTGCCTTATTGATGAAGTTCTGACCATGAAGGGAGAATCTCAGGGGTCCCGTGTCTTTTACAGTTGGACATCCTCCTGCATCTCATGTAGTGCCACAGAAGTGGAGAGTCTTTCATAAACATTTAATCATAGTTGCCAGTTTTAGGCGGCACAGTTTCCAGCCTCTTTCGGTGCCATTGGCTTATCCTTGAAAGCCAAGGTGTACATTGAAGGAGGGCAGGGCCATGACTTACTGTCCTCTGTTCATGAAAGTCTTTTTTTTTCAGTTTCAGATGCACCATCTGTTTCCCAGTGTGTTCCAGTTTTCAACAGACTCTTAAAGTGTTGCATTGAGCAGCACAATTTGACAGTGTCGTCCAACGCTGTGGACTTCATGGTGTGCAAGAAGATACCTGTGAACTTTGTCCTGCTCAGGAACTTAATTGACAGATTGGGAAGACAGTCTTTGTGGGTGAAGGCAAGATCCCTATACAAATGTAAGTGCTCACTTTTTCTTCCTCTACCTTTTTTTAGGAAGTTGAATTCACATGTTTATGCCATTTTGAACCAGTATGAGGTTTACTCAGCAAGCACTGTAAACTATAAACTTAAGACTGCTGGATATTTTCCATTGTGCAACCCAAAAATGGACATTCCTGGTTTTGGGAAGTTAGTGTGGTTATAAGTTTTCTAGGTCCCTTCAAAGCACCTGATTTGAACTGTGTTGGTAATTATTCAGCCACTGAATGAGCTCTCCTTTGAGAGCTGACTTGGATTAAAAACCTTCAGACACCCCAGCCCTCTACGACCAGAGCCCATCCCTGGTTTACCAGAATTGTTCTACAAGCAGAATCCAGTTATGTACTGAAGAATTGGTATTGTTGTTTTCTTCTGGATCTTAATGCAGTGCATCTTGCTTAACATTTTGGATGTGGTTCAGAAAACCATGAGGTATTGTTAAAACAATATATAATAAAGTGAAGTGATTATTCTTATAGGAAATAAAGTTGTAGGCAGATGCTTGCACAGGAGCAAGTAAGATTTAACAAACAAGTTTACAAATATAGTAAAGCACTTGATTTTAGGAAAATAGCTTTTAAAGGCGTAGACATTTTACAGAGTTGTTCACACATTCCGTGGAGCACTGTCAAAAACATGAATACAGTAAAATACACAGAACTGTAATTGAAAACTGGATGTATGTATCTGTTAAGCTAGATCGGTGCATGGTGAAAATGCATCGCAGATGGTTATAAAAAAAGGTTGTTAAATGATTAAAGACAGTGTATAGATCACAATAAGGACTTCGGGCACGGTGAGCAGCACAGCCTTCCTCGTTCCTAGCCTGCTCTTCTGTGTCCTCAGGTGCGCTGCATCTGGGCTGCTACCCCCCTGTCAAAGAAAACACGTACTGCAGGCTTCTCTCCGTTCCCTGCTCCCTGACCGAGATCGAGATGACACTGGCCTTTGAAATGTTCATGGTTTCAAATGCAAACAGCATTCAGAATCCAAGTACTTGTACACACGCTCTACAGATTGTACTGAAAAGGTATGTTTTGTAGCTTTCTGAATTAAAAGCACATTTATACAGACCATTTACAAACTTCTGTAAATTGAATGTATTCAAATCTGAGAGAGTATACGTTCATGTTGCTTAGTAGGTTACTTTTTTTTTTCTTGGAGCGATCCAGAATGCTCCCAATAAAGATATTTGAACTATTTTTAATGTTTGTAAGGTTTATTTAGATGAAGAAGTCACACTTGCTTAGGCTTTAGTGAACACTGTACTCAAAAGTGCAGTTCTGTCAGTTTGTGAACCAGTTAGGGATCATTTCTATTGGGTGCACAGCCTTTGCTGATGAATATTTCTATATAAGTACTTAAATTCATTTCGCTGCACATTGACAGAAATGCTAAACATGACTTCGCTAAACGTGTCCGCTTTTAATTGAAGTGCAGTCGTTTTCTCCCCAGGAAAGAGGAAGATGGGTCGATCAGTGAATGTGACTACCATGCAGCTGTGAGCAGACTCGTGTCGGCTGCCCAGATCACCAGGCCGAAGCTGGTGATTAAATATGCCACCGTCAACGTCTGCGGAGAGCAGGTGTTCACGCTGGACCCTCTGTCGGCTCTGAAGTGGCTGAGCCAGAACATGGAGTGGGCTGGGAAGGCCTGGCTGGTTTCCTGACGTCTTCAAGGAGCCCGTCAAAGAAGAGCTGCAACGTTGTACATTAATCATTAATGTATGGTGCACAATAAAGATGAAGATAGGTTTTTCAGATCATACTCAAAACATTTGCTTTATTTTAAGTTGAGTTTTATCACGGCGTTCAAGCTTGTGCATCTTCACAGCACCTTGTTTCCAGCATTTCAAGAGATTCTCTTCCCTCTCTTGCTTGTCAGTTTTACAGTTAGGTCCTTTTCCAAATGGGTCGACGTGATGTCTGTGAATTGGTGAATTGGATACCTGGAATGAGGTACCTTCTCCAGCTTACTGTATAGGTTTTTATGTTACAAAAGTATCTGGAGAAGAATATCGTTTTTGTTTTGCATTGTGGTCATTTAGGAAGTAACCTCCTCAGGTATATTAAGTTAAAACAAACGCTTGCACTGAATATAGCAACTGTAACGAAGAATAGCTGAACCCAGGTTTGCTTTTATTAAGCAGATTTTCCTTGTGAATCATTGAATCTGCTGGAGGTTATTGAATAAAAGGCATCTTTTACATCATTCATGGCATTTTGTGCCCAGAATGTACTTCTTATTGCCAGTGTTCTGTATTTGTTACCAAAATTATGTATACGTGTACTGATGAGCCTTCCAAGATTTACACCTGTACAATTCCACTGGTAGATGGGGACAGCTGTATTCTTTAACTTACACGTTCTTCAGGTTTCTAAAGGAACTGAGCAATTACTTGGAAAATAGATGTTGCACAAGACCCTTGACTTTAACAGTCCTGTTTAGCTGGCGCTTGCATTTGGTAAGAGCATCTATTAGACTGCTTTGGATCACTTGTGAAGGGTCTGCCAGACAGAAGAGTTGGTTTATGCCAATTTAACTCACTTTGCAATGTTTCGGAAACTTGAAATGAGCAGAAACCAACTTGAGTATTAATTTCACATATTAAGCTACATTCTACATAAAATGTGATATGTTGCACCACTACTGCATTGACTTGTGTAGGGAATAAGAAAGAAAATGCTTCAATTTATGTAATTCTAGTTATAGGGTTTCTTTCTGTAAATAAATTGTGTTTTGCTGAGTCTTAAATATTTAAGATAAGTTAACAATGGGAGTTGCATGTGATTTATATTTTTTGTACAGGTACATCTGAAAATAAAAAGGTTTGTGAGCAATCAGCTTTTCGGTGTTGGCAGTCTTTAGTGAACCAAAACGAATGGACTAAAAAACTACATTTAAATACATTCGGCAGCTACTGTGAAATGATTCTGCTTCCGTTATAAAGAAGTTGAATAAGCACAGCAGGAGTCTCGTATCAGTGATTTAATACGGTGGTCGACTCTGTCATGTGAAATAGTAACGCCTCGTGAATTTCACAACCCAATTTGGGCTAGTGTTTTTAAATGTTATGTTAACATTACATCTTATACGAAATAACCGATGGTTACCTGCTTCTTGCTGAGAGAGGGGGAAAAAAATCAGTAGTAATGAAGGACCTTGCCTTGCGACGCAAGTCGCCTCTGTGTGACCGCGGTTCACCCGAAGGTGGCGCTGGTTGCGGCCGGTCCTGCGTCACGTCTGAGGGGAGCGAATGGGTGAGCGACTGCTTCTGTCTGACGACGCTCGTTGTTTTTAAATGGAGATGCGGGGGTGACAGCCTCGTCCTCTTGCTGCTCTGGGGTTATATATAGTTCCGCAGCTTTAGATGATGAATGTGCACCCGGAGAGGTACCGTTAGGAAAACCGAAAACGCGTGAAACGCAGCTGGATTTGTTTCTGCCGACTTGAGAGCTCCTCGGTGTCGGTGTGTTTGTGTTCAGCGGATGATGTGTTGCAGGCGTGCTGGTCTTGTCCTTGCACTGCGTGTGTCGTTGTGTGAATGTGTCGCATATTGCCAGGTAGGGTTTAACGATTGCGATTACAGTTACAGCTGCTCCTCCTTATAATGCGTCTCAAATATCTCGGGAATCTCGCATTGTGTTTTCTTCCTTTGCGTAATCGCATTTTCTGGATGTGTCATAGCGCTTCATGAAAGATGTCTTCTGTGAAAACAACTCGTTTTACCAAATTACCAGTTGCATCCTCTTCATACGATAAGTTAACTCCGTAAAAAAGCCCATTTCTTTTTGCCGGTTAAGAAGAGTCTCTGCACCTGTGGATTTCAAGAACGGTTTCCAGTGAGATGTCTGTAACCTGCTTTCTGCGGTTTCTGACGAGGTATGTATGACTACTGTAACACTATGCATAACCGCTGTACATGCTAGCCTCTTGTATGGGATATTTAGTGCATTCTCGTTTATTTGCATGGCGTGAAGTTAACAGATGCTTTTGGATTGCTCCTTAGATTAAGCAGGTTGTGTCTGTATATGCAGAAGTGCAGGAATGGACCTAAACAGGCAGCCAAACGATGGAGCCACTTGACATTTTACCAAACTGCACTAAAAAAGTAGAACATACTATTGATTTGCTTGAAACTGTATTAACCTTTTTCCAGTGAAATGTAAAAGGCATGGCTGGTACTTCACATCAATCCTCTCTTTAGAAATATACCTTCTTTTTTGTTAATTTGCTTTTTCTTCAGTCTTCTTTCAAGCGCACACAATCCAAGCTGTTAAGAGTGGTGAAATGGCTGCCTCCGATTGTAAAATGTTTTATAGTCTTAAGATACCAGTCCAGAGGTTTATCTTTAACCTGTTAAATGTCGTTCCTAAAATATGTATTGGCTTCCAGGTGGTAAACCTTGTTATAGCTCCTTGTGGTGGTGACGAGCCAGATTTCTGTCCTGGGGTTTGACTGTTTGCAGTCATTGTACTGATTTAACATGGGTTGAATTGTGCCCAGCCTGAGCTGGCAGCTGGCACAGTTCCTTCTCCTGTGACTCTGCAGTTCATAGTACAGTGCGTTTGTGAGGGGAACTGGCAGCTGCAGGCTTTTCAATTTGCTCCAGATCAGGTGTTGAAGAAGGCAGTTATCCTGTGGGCTGGTAAAGCCCGTGGAGCTGTGGCATAGCAGTGGGAGGAGCGCATGCTGTCTAAAACTTTACCTGCGTGTGCCTTGTAGCTATAAGAGCAAGTCAAGTGATTCTCTACAGACTTACAAATTAGGCCGTCCTTCAGTCTCTCCTTTATGTGACAGCTGCAGATCTTCTGAAGGCACTCCCCACACCTCTTCTGGCCGTCTCCCAAGGTGTAATAGACGCTTTAGGGAGAAATTGTTTTGGGAAGAATATTCCCCCTGGACCCTGAGCTAGTTCTCTTCGGTGGTTCAGTGGCAACACTCAGACTAACAAAGGAAGAACAGTCAGCGCTGGAGTCCAGAATAGTTCTGGCCAAAAAAATTATTCTTATAGAATGGAGATGTGTTATTGGAGAGAGCTGGTTCAGTGAGATGATCTCTGCTGTTACAGAGAGGATTTGTTTATATAGATCAGGCACTGTGGAGTGATACGGGTTCCTTTCCTGAATGTTGTGAAAAAGACTTGAGTCTGGGACAGGTCCCTGACTGTTTCACACATCTAAACAGTCTGTGATCATTTCTCTCTTAGATTTAATCTCTCTTATCTCAGCAAGAAAACTTTTTTCAAAAAGCCATAACCAAGATTTAGCTGTTTGTTCTTTGTGTGTGTCTTTAGGTATTTTATGTTTTTATGTTGTTTTTCAGTTCTTGTTGTCTCGTTAAAAGTTTCTGAATTTCTTAATAAAACACAGATACTCTACGATGGAGACTAAAATGTTCTCACTGGGCCGTGGTTGCAATATTTATCCCACAGGCACCGTTTTTCTAGAGCTGTTAATGTGAGCCCCCTTTTCTGTTGCTGCTTTGTGTGACAGTTCAGACTTTGATCTTCCAGGCTGGATGTGAACAAACTCTTCCACTTCAGACAGTGCAGCAGTGCAAGTGCACGAGTCTGTACAGCTGGATGGACACAGGGCGTTTCTAAAATATTGCGGTCATTGATCTGCACTGTCATATGGTATCTGCCTTCTGGCACCATCATTTACATTTTAAGGTGAAATGGTTTAAATTGAAAATGGTTTTAGTGGCAGAATTCTGAATTAATTAAATTGCATTAAATGGTTTCTGTGGGTGTCTACGAAAACAGAAAGGAATGATAAAGTGCATCAGAGCCCTGTGGTCTGTTTGACACCAATCTGAAGTATTCATATTTGCAGTATTATAATTCATTTTACCCATGCATTTATTTGTCACTATTGCAAATATCATGTGGCAAGCGGATGGATAGATATGACAGGTGCACATTATATACTGTTCTGTTTGTTGTGCCTTATTATTATTAGTGTTTATTAGTGTTTAGCTCTTTTTGCACTGGTCTTGACAGCTGGATGAAGAGGAGCATGTGTTTGAGAAGTAAGGAGTAGACGTGTTTGCAGGGTCTCGGGTGCTCTTCCTGTCCTGTTCTGGAGTCTTGTGACGGGCGTTTCCCTTTTCCACAGAGCTGACTGCAGCAGGCGTGTGGCTGCACAGCTCCTGCAGAAAAGACTCCTGTCGGGGGCAGAAGCCGTCAACGCGCTCCGGCCCTTCTACTTCGCAGTGCACCCAGATTTCTTTGGCCAGTATCCAAGGGAGAGGGTAAGCAGCTCCTTCAGACGAAAAATTGTTTTGTGTTGTGTTGTTGTGGCTTCAGGTATCAAAACAATTTGATACACCAAACACCAAATTTGCAGGAAAAAAATATAATTATGGTACAGTATATACCATCGTGTTTTAGCTCTTTAATATCTTAAGACGGCACACAAATTTCAGAATTTTGTGTTTCCTGGAAGCCAATTTAAATGCAGTCCACTTCAGAGAGAGACTTAATTACAGGATTGCATTGTGGGTGTTAGTGATGTCCTGCTTCAAGATGCAATAACTGCCTGCTTGCATTGTGAGCAGAAACAGAGTGTGCTTTCTGTGAAAAGTTACATTTTCAGCATTTTCATTTTCTTGATTTTTTTTTATTGCAATATTCAATTGCCTTTTAAGGTAGTACAGTGCATTATATGTTGTAACTGTGTGGTGTTGGAAATTTGAGTGTCTTGTCTCGCAGGAGGTGAATGAAAACTCACTCAAGCGGCTAAATGGATATTTAGAAAATCTTCAGAAGCCAGGTGTCCATTCCCTCAAACCAACACGACTAACATTTTATGTTCGAGACACAACAGCAGAAAAAGATGCTGCTCAACATGAAATCCTTAATTCAGGTACTCTGGAGTACCACACACCATATATCTATATCATATATTATATTATCTGTCTGAATGCTCAAGTTCTGACAAATGATGATGTACACAACAGGTGTCACTTTGTAAATTGAAAGGTTTATACTGCAGTGGGGTTGTCGGGGCTGGTTTGTCAATGTACTGTGTGCATCATGCTGGCTTGCTAAGTCAGATGCACAGACCTCTGATAACCTGCAAAGCAGTAAATGTAGGCAATTTATTATTAGGACAAAGTTTCTAAAGCTGTTAGCTTTCAAAGTCAGGATTTTACCTTTTTCTGGATATTTTTGTACATTTAATAAAATGAGATGAACGTTCATTTGGTCTCGAACGCTTTTCTTTCACAGGGTTTCGAGCAGTTAGCTTCACCTTGCAGTCGAGGGATATGCGGAGCGCGGTGTTGGACGTTCTGAGGTCTTGCAGCTTGTCCACGGAGCACATGCAGGACGTGAAAGCCGGTGTTTGCCCAGACACCCAGATGTATGGAGCTGGAATTCCGTTCTATAGACCCATCAAGTGGGACAAGACTTTCTATTCATTTACAGGATCCCAGGATCCCGAGCAGCAGCTGGACAGAGCCAGGAAAGCAGGAAAGCCTACGTTGAGGTACCGTGCTCTTCAGACCTCTGGGATAGGGATACCGTAAGATATATTTGACTGAATGAACCATTATTCAGTTAATATCAACCCTCCAAAACAGATTATGACACAATAAAGTGGGACTTTGTTAGCCGTTCAGTTTAGTCATTGATTTAGATCATGTCCGGCCACCTAAGTTTTGTCGGTGTTCTTCCAATGGTAGAAACAATGCAATGCCAAAACACTTGACATCGGTTTTTCAAACCTGCAAGAAAGCAAGTTCACAAAATGCTTTCAAAGCATGGGTGGGGCACTTCCGTTGCACCCCTGACCAGGGGATTGCTCTAGCAAGACATCCTTCATGGCCATCGTTCTGAGAATTCCTTGATTCATTTTTCTTTTGAGTCAAAGTTTGTTTAGTTGATTTCTGCTCGCATGTTTTGGGTGGAATTGAACTGTTGAAGTTCATTACTTGATTGTGCTTTGCATCTACAACAGCTCATGGTTGAGCAGCAATGAAGCAACAGCAACAAAGAAGCTGAAAGACAGCCTTCCTCGAAGAGCTGAGCTGAAGAGGCTGAAAAAAGAGCTCTGCCAGACACTGGGACTCGCAGACATACGGTACTTTCCTCATTCTAAGATCTTAAAAAGAAAAGCTTGTTTTAAAATGCCTTTCAAGCCATTATAATTTGGAGCTATCAAAGAAATTATACTCAATTTAAATATTCTATATTCTATATATAGCAACAGTAATTACACCTCTTTAGTGTTAAGCTATTTGATAAATGATCCTCCTTCCTTCAGGTGAAATATCTTGACTCTCACTAGAAAATGATTATGTGGGAGTTTTCTGACTTAAATTATAAAAACAACCATAAAACCCTTAGGAGTTTGCTTATTTTTTCCTTCATCCACAAATCTTACTACATTAGCAAAAGAATAAAATTATTTAACATTTCCTGGTTCAGAGTTATCTGGAAAAAACAAAAGGCAACAATGTTGCAAACTGTTCTATTCTAGCTCAATGTTTTTAAAAAGATCACTATCATGGCTTCTGAAACTTGTGCTTTATGGATCCCACATGTTGCTGGGTGTGTAGAAGTGACTAGTTTTTCTTTCTATATCTAATAGCATATTTTAACATTTAAAAGTTTAACCTCTACCACACAAACATCAGTGCAGAGGCTATAGTTCAGTCTTCTGGAAGAACTGTTTCTTCAGTTCCACAAAATACTGAAGTAATAACTCGCAACACTTTGAGTCATTAGACTTCCAAGTACTGTAAGCCTAGGTAGGGATTTCTTTTCTTTCCTTTTTTTTTTCTTTCTTAGACTATGCGGTCTAGTAATCTCATCTAGGCCGGCGTACAGGGTCAAATCAATGATTACATTTGTGTCCTGCATCAGCCAAGATGGCAGCCTGACCTGCGTCTTTGAAAGCCCTTTCAAAATCTTCTAATGAACCTCTGTACCAGTTTGCTGATTTGAGTTGATGCTTTGGAGATTTCACCAGTAGCCAGAACTATTTCGATTTTGCATCTGGAAAGTTGCTACAAGGATTTGAACACATGCAAGGGGTCGTAAACTGGTCTGAGAAAAGTGTCCCAATACTCCAGCTGCACCTGCCCAAACAGTGTTAGGCCAGTTAACTCCTAATTATCTGTAAGTGTGCAGTTAACATCTGGCACAGTGTTCTTCCTGTGTGTACGAAGATGACCGGCCTACTGCCTGTTTGTCTCACAGCTCAGACTGCCTCTGTCTTGGCAACCTCTGCAGCAGTGGACACGAAACTGGCCAGGTTCCATGAACCTCGCACTGCTTACACACAACACAGTGATAGTGCCCTGACTGTGTGGAGTGAGTGCATTGACGTTTACCCACATTCTCTCTGTATTCTCAACACCTGTGTCCCTGTATGATTGTACAGAGCCTGGTTTGATTATTTATAAACTTGGCATCATAACAGACATTGTACACTGGCAAAATTGGACATAGAAATCTGAATATGTTGATATTTACAGTTAAAATTATATGTATTGGTTTTTCAATTCTTCGGATGGTAGCCATAATTCCCGTGTTGTGACTTTAAACATTACTCTCTCTTGTGGATTGAGGTTTTTTTCTGTTGAGTATGTGTAATGTGAACTGCTTGGTATGGTGATAAGTAGTGTAGTTCAGTGTTAATACTCAGTATCCTAAGACATGGACAGTATCTGCTGCTGTCCCGCAGCCCAGTCGCCGCTGGAGAATCATTAGAAAGACTGGACGCCAGTAAAGAGTAGAACCGTTCCACACCAGCCGAGTGAACTGGAGAAGGTTTGGCTAAAGGAGAAATGGGGGGGAACCAGTGCAGACAGAATGCATAGCAAAATATTTCAGGCAGAAATCCTTCAAGCGAGTTAGTGAGCGAGCGGTTCAAGAGAGGGAATGATTAGACCTGAGTCCTGCTCTCTCCAGGTGGCAGCGCAGCTGGGGTGTTGCTCACAGGTGCAGCCTGTTGCAGAGCCTGAGTCGCCTGTCCCAGCAGAGCCCAGACGTCCTCCGCCACGCCCGCGGTACGGCCCCCCTCCAGCTCCTGCCAAACACGCCGGCCGTGCCTGTGCATCCCCGGGTTTGAACCCCCATCGTGATGGACCCTGTCTTTTTAAACGGAACGTCAGTCAAAACCGTGCAGCTAGGTTCTGTTCCCCTTTGGAACAGGGGGCAGTTGTCTTGAGAGCGTGGCTGGGTGTATTCAGTTGTAGGTTTGTGTTACAGATCAAAGGGGGCAAAACGAGAATTATATTCTGTCCTTCAGTGCTTTTAACTCTCACATTCTTGCTTGTGACAGAAATTTGATAATGGTTACAAAGCAGTTCGGGTCCTTGAGTGACTGGTTTAATCTCTCACGTTACTTTCCTTAGGGCAAATATTAATATTTACTGACCGGTCAGGAATGAGTGCTGCTGGCCATGTGATGCTAGGAACAATGGATGTCCATCACCAGTGGGCCAAAGTAAGACACTTATTTTCCTTTACAATCACTCGATAATAAAAGGATTGGTTTTCTTCAAATAGGAATTCAATTCCACAGAAAAAATCAAGGCTAGGATTTTCCGATTCAATTTTCAAATTAATGTAACCCTTTGTACTAATTTAGTGTTTTATAAGCAATGGTTCCATGTGTGAACTCAAAGCCATGAGTAGGAGGAGCAAAGGTCCGATGCTGTAAAATGTATTTCTTTCACATTGTTTTTCAGAGTTAAAGAGTAAATCTGTTCCAGTCCAATTTTCAGCTAGTCAGTCTGATCCAGGCTTGTTTTTCCTCTTCCTGGGAGGTGGGGGGAAGACCAGCCTGGAAGCGTCTTTGTCTGGGACTCGGGCTCGTTCAGACAGGTCTAGGTGGATTTACCCGGTCTGACATCTTTCCGAAGGAGATGCGATTGCCTCCTGGAGTCCGAACCTCTCCTGCGTGGTGTTATTAGGTGAAGTGATGCAGACGTTTCCTGAAAAACAGGGTGGTGGATGGGCTCTGGCGCGACCGGCAGAGGGGCCCCTCGGCGACGAAAGCGGTGCCACAGAGATGAACGAGCTCGTTTGCGAGGCTGCCGCGGGGCGCCTCGGTTTTGAGGGGTTGCTTGTCTTCCAACAGCTGTTCGAGCGGCTGCCCGGCTACGGCGGCCTGCTGCTGCGGGTGCAGGGCCTGAGGGAGCGCGTGGGCCAGCTGCTCGGGGGGATGCAGGTGATCTACGTGGAGAGGCTGCAGCCTGTGCTGACCCTGGAGGAGCACCACAGCACCCTGAGCGCCCTGCAGAAGAGCCTGCACTCCGGCAGGACCCCCTTCCATCCACACAGCCTGCAGGGGCTCCGGGCCATGCTGGAGAAGTACGCTTGCCTCTGGCTGGGTCTGTCTGTCCGCCTGCCTTCCCCGAGTCCTCACTGAGCTTGTGGAGTGACAGCCTCCGAGTTATCTTCCATGTAAAGAGCTTTATCTCGCGCGTGTAAGGAACAGTTTCCTTGACGTTTAAAGAAGAATTAGACTTGAGGGAACGTTGGAGTGGCGAGCACAAACCCATGACCTTCACGGGTTAAGGGAGTAGCCTGTGGTAATGTGACGTTCTGGAAAAAAAGATCTGCAGGGTTTTATTTTCTTGGCCTGGATTGGGTTGACATGACTGTAAGGAGGACAATTAAATGCAGCACGGGTTCATTTTGCGGTGGTGTAACACGAGATAGAGTAGTTCCCCGAAGATTGAAAAGGGCCGACTCTGAGGGAGAGTAGATACGTTGGTTTGAATTTGAGGACTAGCAGTTGAGGGACGAAATGCCCCGTGTTCTGTAGAACAGGTGTAAACCAAGCAAGAGGAGAAATTTGCCTACATGTTGCCTACATACGTGTTTTAAAGTTAAAAGCTTAAACTATTTTAAAAGTGGTAAGATGTTCGGAGGGGGAGAGTATCCTGTGCCCTGAAGCGAGTCTCCAGTGTGGGTTGAGCCCTGATGCCTGAGCTCTCTCCCCTGGCAGCGACCGGGCCGGCCCTGCTCTGCACCAGCTGGGCCACTTCGTCCTGCCTACCGCCTGCGAGCCCTTGGCGCTGCACTGGTTCGTCCGCACGAACGCACAAGAGGCGCGGCGCCGAATGAGGAGACAGGAAGAGTGAGTGTGGGATTGTTGACATGGCTCGTCCTGGCACGTGGTGGGGGAACATGTTTTAGTACAGCTCCTGGAGCAGTGCATGGATAAGGCACAGGGGCTAATGGCCTGGAAGTGGGCCAGCTGGGGCACTGGGTATTAACTCTCGATGCTGAAGCGTACTCCACTCACTTCAATCCCGAGGAAGAAGTGCTCGGTGTCGGAGAGTGCCAGTGCTGAGTCGTGAGCTCTGTGAAGCTGGCCCCCCTTCCAAACCAGCACAAACGCTGAAGCCCACCGCTGTCGTTCGTGCCGGTTTGTGCCGCTGAAAGTAGCTTAAAGGCCTTAGCGGTTCGGACGGGTTCGGCCCTGGGTGTGAAGACCGGCTCTCCTGTCTCGCAGGCTGGAGGCCGAGGAGAGGGGCCTGGTGCTGGCCTGCCTGGAGAGGCTGTCTCTGGGGCGGCTGTACAAGGAGCCCAGCGTGACCAGCGCCCAGATGATCCCCTGCTGCCGGAGGCTGATGGAGGAGCCCCCCCGCTGTGTGCCGGGGCTCCGCCTGTGCGTCTCGCACTTCTACTCCGTGCTCCAGGACGGGGACCTGTGCATCCCGTGGGACTGGCGGCGCTGAGCCGCGAGGAGCCCGCCGCCGCCGCCGGCTCCAGGGCGCTTTACCACGAGCTGCTGGGAGCACGCTTCCGCTACCGTGTGGGGGAAAAGGAAAACAACCAACAGCGATCACACCAGTGCAAAGAGGAAAACGGGAGAAAGATGCAGAGAAATATTTTTTGGGGACTGTGACAGTCAAAAGGCAACGTCGTGGCTTGGAAGCCTTACCGACGTTTGCATTTTTATATAGTTGATATGCATAGTTTGGTTTAAAACACTACAGCGTGGAAGGAAGAAAGAATAGAGTCACTCTTTCATCCTTTCTAGAGGCACGGTTTCCAACAGGGTTGGACTGTGTATTGATAGACTGATGACGTTACTAAAGCAAGCAGCTTTTCCACTTCTGCCTGTGGGTGTCAAATTGTGACAGATGCTACACAGCATTTTAAACTCAAGTTGATTTTCTGGGCACTTAAAATAGTGCATCCCGAAAAGAACAAAGTACAACCCATATCGAGTACACTGTGCTCATACCAGTGTTTTCAGAAAATGCCCTGTGAAAGCATTGTGAAATAACCCTTTTTGGGTTTCATGATTTTGCAATAATATCATTGTTATAATAAATTGAGTGGCCTGACTCATTTTATTGTGGCAGTTAAAGCTCTGTGCACACTAAAGACACAGGGGTGCAGTGAGGGAGAATACATTTTAATTTTTTTTATTTACAAAGAAGCAACTATTCCTGGCATTCCTGCAACCTCTTAAAGTAAACAGTGATCATGTTAATATATCTAATGAGGTGTTTTTAGACACAATTTCTTCTTACCTTCTGTAAGTAGTTTAATATATGTTGCTTTGGAGACGCCTCATCAGTCAGTCTACCTGATTCTATTAAAAAAAAATACATTTGACTGTGTACAGTTTTCCTCAATCACAGAGTATTTCAAGCAATCTGTTATCCGAAAGTTGCTCTGTGGAGAAAAGACACCAAGATGACAGAGGGTCAGATAATAACCGGACATTGTTTTCTGATTGATTGTCTCTGAGAGACGGTATAAACCGGAGTGTGTTTGAAAACCCCTGCAAACACAGAAAGCACCTCGGGGTGCAAGTGCTGTGAGGCAGTTGTGTGAACACGCGTTTCAGTTCGATGCGAGCTCCTCCAGGGGGAGCTCTTTCTCTTTTCAACCCAGGCAGCCAAGGACCTTAATATTAAGCAGGTGTACTGGGACAGAAAAACTATTAATGTTTGTGACACAAGCTGAGTGTCAACCCTATATTTGAAATTCTTATTTAGCAACAGCCAGAGCTTTCTAAATTTTGAGGCAATGTTATTCCCATGTAGGCCTGATTAATATTTATTTTCCCCAACTCAGACTGCTTATTTATTCCAAACATGGTCGGTATTCTTCCAGTGACAATATGGTTAAAACATAGAGAAATGGGATTACTGCATAAGGCAAAGTGGTTACTGAGCACAATTGTTTTGGCAAAATTCAAACTGCAGTTGTCTTGGGCTTGTGAACTGCTTGAAGTTAAATTCACTAAAAACAGATCATTCAGATTTGCACTTCTCACTCTGTAGTGACACTTTCTAAGATGATAACAGGTTCCTGCTTAGTGAACCACACCTCATACCACGAACTGCTCTTTATCGCAAACAGCTGGGTCGTGCCTAATGAATTAGATGGCTCCATTGTTAATACAAACATTGTTTCTACGTTTCGGCTGTGGAGCCTTCTTTGGGTGTGAGCATTTAAAAAAAATATTTAAATGTTTAAAAAATGGTGGTTCAGGTCAGTCCTGCATAAATATGAAAAGGACAAGTTTTAACACCAGCTGTTTAGTTCCTTCGCTCATACAAATAACTGATAAACTATCCATTGGAAAACACACTTAATTTGTAGAAGTGGAAGCTATCCTTATTTTTAATATCCTGGATTTTAATGCTTTTGATGTTATTATTTAGTTGTATTATATTATATATAATTAGTATAATTATATTAACTGATTTACTGTATAGCAACTATGCAACAGAGGAAGCAAAGACCAAAGTCAATATTTTTTAATGTCACACAAAATATAAATCTGAAAATGTTATTGTACCTTGATCTACACAGGAATAGAACAATAACACAAAAATAAAAATAATTCGTACAAAATGTCTTGTTAATCATCCTTTACGTTTCCTACATACATGATTGCTTATTTCATTGATTTGAATTTCATTAATATAATTGAATAGATTTATTAATTCAAAAATCATTGTATTTTCAAGCAAGAAACACACCACAAATAACAGAATGCTCACATTCACGAAAGGTTGCAATTATTTATTAAGAAAAGAAAATCCAACCTCAGAAAATACTGGAGAGGTGCAAATTAAATTATTTGTATTTTTTATATTTAATGTAAGTGTTAAAGAATATTTGTAGTTTAACACTGTACTATTGTCAGAAGGTCATCAAAACATTCAGGATTGATAGTGATAGTATTTAAATTAATCTTTCAAGAACAGGTCGATACTGCAGATTCAGAATCACGGGTACTTACGATAAGGAGGGTCTCCAGTCATCTTTATAGCATCTCAAAAGAACGAGGCTTGACTGTAACAATAGTGTTGAAAACCCACTTGTCCTGTTTGACTGGAATCCCGGTTGTGATTTTGAAGATGAAGGTTTCAGTGAAGCTTGTCTTTAAGAACAGATTTTAAGCATTAATAGGGACCTTGGTGAGAACCACACAAAGGAAGAACATACAAACGCTCCAGGTCAGAACTGAGCTCAGGAACTGAGAGCTGTGAGGCAGCAGAACTAAATTCAGTGCCTCTGTGCCGCTTTGGTGAGTATATTATTGTACCGAAAAGCTAATAATATGGGGAGAAAAGTCACTTTGTAGATGTAATTTATCTGTAATCTGAAGAAGGTTACAATTACCATAGATCGGTCTGAATGTCATATCTATATAATGAGCTCAGTAAAATAAATAAGGAATGTGCTCTAATAAAATGCAGCAATGGAATATCATGGAAAGTCAGAGTTTTGACCTGTCTTCACTTGAATATAGCTGAAGATAGGGATATAACTAGGTTTGTCTCACCAATACCTGCTTGATTCTCTCTTTGATTTTCCAGATCTGTCTTTGTCTCTAGTGTCGTTCTTTATGGCTTAGATACAAGAGGCTTTTTGTTCTTTCAGGGAGTGCCCAGTTTCTAAAACACCAAGTGGAATAAAACAAACAAAACATTTCAAATTGTAGAGTGTTTGACACCTTTAAGCAGATTTCATGTCTCAAGAGAATAACAGCTACGTGTTTTTCCTTGGGGTCCAGAAAAAAGTGGTGTAAATCTTACAGACCCTTCATTCTGCAGGATATTCCTAAATAATAAAGGACAGGCCTGTGCTGTACAGATTGCAGAGAGTCTCAGTCCACGCTTCAGGCTTTTGTTGTAAATCAAAATATACTTAAACTAAAGCGTTTGGTGTAAGCTCAGATTTATATGGGACAAAACACTTATGTTATGACCATATTTAGCTCTGAGGATTGTTTGTAGTTCCTTTACAAAAAAGGTAGCAGACAGGATGCCAGGCATTGTTTACTCCTCAATCATCTGAGCTGGCAGTTCAGAACATTCCCCTGAGCAATGTTTCGTTTTTACAGCAGAAATTCTATTAATTTTGTAATGACGCATTTATCTGTGATGCTCTCCTATGAGTCTTGCCACTAAGTCGCCTTCTCTGCATCAGCACTGACACACCTTCCAGAATATGGGCAAACGACTATTGGAACATAAGTGCACAAGAGAGGTTGCAAAGTAGAGGCGGTTATCCAACCCAATTAGCTGATTGGGTCACTAGGAATTGATCTGAGGATCTCATCCAGCTGTTTCCTAAAACCAGTGTATTGGCTTCAATGGGATAGATGGTATGTTTAAGCCCCCTAAACAGATCCTCTGAAGTTTTATTTTAGACCTCCACAAGCCTTGTGTAAAAGGACTGTATTTCCAAAAAATAAAACTCTACTTCGGCAAGCCTAGGACACACTTGTTTCTACATAATGGTATTTGAGCTCTAGTTTGGTATATATGGCAGTGCTACACCAAAGGTAAGTGTGCCACCATTCCTGTTCAGAAACAAAATTATTGGGGTAGAAGGTAGAGGAAGCCTGACAAATGCTTAATTGGTGTTAACAGGGATTGTATAATCTGTAATTGTATTGTAAATAGCAATTGTATAATTTATTGTATTGTAATCTTATCCTAATCCCTATAAACGTCTATCCTTCTACTCTTCTACCCCTCTTAATGAGCTCGTGGATAAAGCATTTAATTGCCAACAAAACACAGCTGTATGCTGTTATGTTTGTGCGTTGATCAATAAACCTTGATTGATTGATTGAATAACTTTTATGCAGAAAGAATGTACTGTACTCCTGTCTGCCCCATTGCCCTCCAAACATTTCTCTCAGAGAGTCAAACGGGAACTGTAGTTCCAATTTCTCAGACTGGTTCTTAAATCTCGGTAACAAAATTAATTAATTTATGGTATCGCAAAATTTTACAAATTCCGAATTAAGCACAAAATTGTGAACTTTGTGAAAGTACTCTGTGGTCGCCATGTTGTCGAAAACTGCTGGTCACTAATTGTGACGTGAAGCAGCCCTTCCTGCTCACTAGTAACTGTGACGACTAATGTAATGCAATGCACTAGTGAATAAGTACAGGTTGTGCAGCAGACGCTTCACCGCAGAAATGTTACAAAGTGATCTGCATGCAGAGTTAACAATCAAGTTGTGTTTGTTAGCAAAACAGTCTTGATTTCAAGAGCAATGTTTCTATTGGATTAAAAGAGATGTATTCACAAGCTTGCTTGTTTACAATGTAATAAGGCCGTTTCATGTCACCATAAGTTTTGTTGCCTTATTTCGAATCGCAGATGATGGCAATATGGTGCTGTGTGTACCTGGAAATTTCATCTATTTTGTGATGTAAATTGGAGGTTTTACAAGTTACTCTGCACATTTTACTTTCGTTGTGGTTTGAAATGCCCTCATCAATACTGATTCTTTCTAATCCCGAAACATAAACATTGTGTTGCAGCACTTCTTCAAGCCCTGTATGCTGAAAGTTGTGGAGCTGGTATGCTAGAGACAAATTTTGATATTAAATCCCATAAGAAAATCACTTTTTGGGAAAGTGGACTTATTGGCCTGACAAAGAGAGCTGTATTCCACTTTGAAGCAGAGACCAAAAGCAGCTGTCAGCTACTGTAACGCAATGTGTGTGTATATCATTTTTTTTCTTTTGTTCTAAACAGATAAGGCGGACGCCTGGCTCTCATTTCTTTTTGAAGCACAGCCTTTCCTTCCGTCTTGGTTGTGACAGATTTATATCTTTCCGGGAGTCTGAGTCTCCACTTAAGCACATTGCCTTGGAGGTCTGTGGCTTTCTGGAAGCAACTCTGTGCCCGGACGTGACAGGACTCCTGGCTCAGCTGAAGCACAGACTGGGGCAAGACAGTAGAGCTGAAATGGCATTTATTTCGGGATGACCCAAAAAACTATTTTCCTTCTTGAAATTCTTTTCTATTTAATTCTGGTGCAAAAGTGAGGAAAAGGTTGGTAGCAGAGCTTATCTTCACCCAGGCTGAGACTCGTTAGGTTCAATTTTCAGTCTCCATAAAATCTTTTATTCCAGCATGGAGCTAATATATTCTACATGGCCACTTGATTATCTCACTAGTCACAAAGACTTGCTCCAGAGTTGGGATTATTGCTGGTAAAGACGAACTGAAACGCAAGCAAGCCTAGTAATAGCTTTGTCAATATCCGTAATGCAGAAAGTATGTTCTATATTGTCAGAAGCAACAAAGATTCATGACCTGCATTTGGAAATTAGAACACATATTGAGTGTTTTATGGAAATCTAATGTAATGTCATGCTGATGAGTGCAGGTTTTGCTCCTTTAAGGTTTACATGGAACAGTTTGTCAACACAGGCAATGGAGCAGTTGTTTAGAATTAATAATCATAACGATAATGAGTTATTAACCTGGGAGTTAATACTGTGTGAGGTTTCAATAAGTCCTCAAGCTATAGATTTTATTTCTTAGGTCACGGGGTATCTTCCTAGACTTTTCTGGACGTTCACAGTGCCCTTGATCCATCACTCTTCCAGGCAGTGTTTCTTTTCTCCAGCTTGAGTCTGGAAGCAGAATCTATTGCCCTACTCTGTGTGCATCTCACCCCACCCTGCAGTTTGTGCCATTTCC